TTATCGCTATTCTTACTAATTATGTATGATTTTACGTTAATGGACGGGAGTTTTATTTGCAGGGTTAACACCTTGTATTAAACTTCATTTATATATTTAATTATTCTTAACATTTGCAACATTGATAACTTATAGCAAGTACTTTGAATTATTTACATAAAAACAGTTGAATAAAAAATGTGTTGTAATTAAATTTGTAGTGCTTTCATTAGAGAAGCACATCTGAAAATCAATATAGAACCCTCTTTTTGCTAATTTATACACTTCACTTAATATTGCAATTTTCGAAATGCATAATCAAATACGAAGCAAATTGCAAACTCTTGAAAAAAAATGTAATGAAATACAACACAGCAGGAAAACTTTGTGGAAAAGTCACATGGCAACACTTTTGAAAGCAATCGAAACACACACCCATCCATATCCGCATCCTGTTTCACCTACTTTTACATGAACAACCTCACACACACACACATCCAGTAACCAAAATCCCACAAGCAAATAAGTTTTGCAATCAAAGTTTTTCGCAACAATTTTTTATGCACTCCATTTTCTGGCACTTGTTCTCGTGGGTAAGATTTAAATTAAGAAAATATTACATCGTTAAATGCGCAATAAAGTTATCGCTGCTAACATTTCAGCTGAGGAAAAAACGAGAAAAAAATCGAAATTCGAGACTCAAATGCAAACAAATACAACAACGCAAAGGACGACTTGTATTAGCAACAGAAAAAATGGAGCCAATAAATTCAATTCATGTCTCATTAAACGCGCGCGGTAACCCACATTAAGGATTGCACAACTACAATTGCACAAAACCGCCATTGGGAAGAACCTCGAAAAACCTCGAAAAACTCGAAAAAAGTCAAAACAAGAAAATGCACAAGCAATTAAAAGTGTTCGCAGCGAATGAAATAACATTTTCATTATATTCTCCTTTGCGAGTGTCAAAAAGGAAGCCGGCAAGGTTCCGTATGAGCTGCAAGGATGCGAGAACGTACGAAAATGTTGTCTTAAACCGCAATTGAAATTACAGCAAAATTACAACAAATTACAAGTCGAAAATGCTTTCGGTTTGTTTTGGGTTTCCATTGCAGGGCAAAGTTTACGTGCAGCATTGCTTTTTGGCTGTTGTCAGGTGCAAAAATAAAAATGTTGTTGATTGCAAAAATCAAATCAAGCCAATGAGACTAAAGCAATTCAGGTTGTTAGGTTGCCATAAGACCAAGAATAAATCAAAAAGAAAGAAAAAATCATCAAAATATCAACAAAGCTTGAAAATGGATGAAGTTGGAAAAATACTAAATAAACGTTGCAGTTGGTAATCAAAAAGTACTAATTGCAAGTTCAAGTAAAGAATGTAACATTTCGAATGATTGAATGTCAGTAATTAAAACTTAAAATGGGCTAACTATGACTTACTCGAATACCTTGGTTTCAATATCGTCCTCAATACTTACAAAAACTCACCTTGTTGTTGCTATTGCCAATTGAAGATTTTATTTAGAGTTGTTAAAGCAGCGAATGAAAAACTAAGGTAACAACAAGAAACAAAAAGGACTTTCAAAATTTAATCATGAAATAATTTTATTCCTTCATTTAGTAAGGAATTGATTTTAAAGCAGTTAACAATAATTCAGCAAAAACCACAATTTGATATCATATACAATAATATTATAATTCAAAAAATTGATTCTAGAACTACAAACTGGACTAATCTGATGTGATAACGGTGGTTATCGAAAGACATGAATTTATGTATATTATATATTTAAATATATATACATAATATATTCTTGTCGAGTTCTGCTAATCAAAATTCTTATAGAT